TAAGCTTCATGTAATTGACCTTCGGTCCCCAAGCTTGGCCAGTTTTGAAATATAAGGTAGAAAGCTATCTACCTTCTTTTCAAAAAAAAAAAATTGTTGGTGATTTGTTCGATTCTAGGCAACACATAACTAGTACTCACAGCTGAGACGTTGTGATAGTGGGTTTCAGCATACTGCAGTTTTTGTGCAGTATCCTGCTAAGTTACTGTTAATGTAGTCACCTACCAAGCACAAAAAAGTTGGGGAAACTCTTCTGGTGTAAACATGAGCGAAGGAAAACACCACAGCTGTGATCAGAACAGATACTGGCGTAGGAAACCTATATAAGAAACAAATTATATATCCCTTTATGGTACAGAATTGCAGATGCACCAATCTACAGTTTTACATTTCTTGGTAAGCACAGGAAATCCCTTAAAAAGAAGCATTAATAAGTTTCTGGACCAATAAAAAGGAATGCATATTTACCACATAGTCAAGGATACAATTAGAAATCCTCTAAACAAAGTTTGCTGCGAAATTGGTTCGAGAACCCCAGTGATGATAGTACTTCGCTGCATGCTGATGGACTTCTTTGCCTCATCAAACAAAGACATCCTCATGCCAACGATGTCTATGCACTGGATTTCTGACTGCCAGAATGAACCACCTCCTGAACCAGACTAGTTTTATGTCTCTTTGCGTTTATCTGGGAGGTTGGTTATCCTGAATTTCTAACACTAAACATTGCATTTCTGTATTCTCTTAATTGATAAGGAGATCACTGCAAGAAGTTCAAGTTCCTCAAACAAAACCTTGTATATATGACACATATCCCAAGCTGAACTAGGGGACCTAACTTGCACAATTTTTTGCGATCAGAGGGAGTATCAAATACTTATCATGGCCATGAGCAGGAAGCATGTGGTACTTATCTAGGACCACTTTTATTCTCTTATACAATTTTGGTGTTTGTCTTTATGAAGCTTCAATGCCAGACAATATGGTTATCGCGGTCTTATATAAAGCTTATAGGATGTTCGTTTGTCTCATCACTTCCATTGTAAACTGGAACATTACTCAGTAGCAAGCTTATTCAGAACATAAATTGATGGTTCGTTACACATGTGTACAAAATCCAAGACACTTGTCTTTCCTTACAAAATCTAATCAATTTGCAAATAAGAAAAATAATATTGCCCTTAACTGGCTTGGTTCACTGATATAGATCCTAGTTTCGAATTTCATTAGTTAAAAAGGTACCTAGATTCTGACTTGAAGGCCCAGTTTGCATTAGTTATCAATTCACATCACGATTTGTCTTTTTTACTTCGAGATATGTATTTTGAATTTGGATCTAAAAATTTATACCATGTTAGATATGTTTTGTACTTAAATCCTCACAAAAACTCCATGATTTCTTCACAATTCTCAAGTTACGGAGATCGGATGCACTGGTAGCACCAGATACCTTCCCAGAGGACATATATGCTCCTCTTTGTGTGCTGTCTTTGCTCAATAAGCCATTCATAAGATTTCCAGTTTATCTGTTGCTACAGTTAAATAAAATTATACATGACACATACAACATTTAGAGCCTTTCTGTTTTTCTAAACATATGCCTTCTTGGACTTGCACTGTAGCCTACTAGCCTGCCATAAATTATATGCGACTGTCGCAGCATTAGTTCTGTATTTGTCTTGCTTTCAAATGAGTGAAAATTAACTTGCTTTGCATAAAGTGTATGTACATACCATCATATCACATTGGAATTTAACTTTGACATCATAAGAGATCAAATATCAAACTGCAGTTTGAAAAACAAAAGGAAACTACCAGATCAGATGACACGTCAACTATGAATTGTTAGCAGGGGATACTTCCAAGAGTTCATGTATTTTACAGTAACGTACAAAATCGGTGCAAGATAAAACTATGGTGACCAAATGAAACCTTCAAGATGCCTGCAGCAGCTCCTTGATATCATATCCCTGCAGCTGAAACACAATACACAAAGAACTTCAATTAGTTTTAAGTACTTCTATGTTTTTTCTTCCACAAAAGGCAGGAGCTCTGGCAATCAGTATAAGATGACAATATTTATGTACAACAAAGGATCAAGGACAAGCATGAGATGGGAAGTGAAAACGAGCGACGCCAAAAAACACCCTAAGTGACAGAGCAGAGTGATCAAGGACCAGGGTGTTGGGGGAGTGAAGACAAGCAAAGCCAGGAAACACCCTTAGCCACGGCAACCACATTGCATATGGGTAAAAAGGGCAAATGGGTATCAGTTGTACAACAAATGATGACAAAAAGATAATATATACCTGAAGAACGGTTAGTGACAATATTACTCAAACTGACGGAATATTACAGATCAATATCACTGAACTGAATAACATATTGATTTTGAAGCCGATAGAGGGATGGAGGAAACCAACTTTAGGAATATTACTGATCAACGTTCATGCTACTTATGATAGGAATTCAGGCTATGGAAGAACAGGGGTGGTGATTAGAGATTGTCATGGAAACTATATTGCAAGTTCTCACAGATATCTTATGCATGTAGTACACGCAGCAATGGCAGAAGCATATGCATTCAGAGGGATTGCTGCTAGCGCAGCATATTGGTATAAATGTTTTTGCAGTCCAAACGGACTACATGCAAGTGGTTGAAACAATGCAAGATGGTGGCTTCTTGGCAACAGAATCATCAGCGGTATATGGAGATTGCAACAACATCTTTGACAGGTTTTGATAGGGTTCTTGTAGAATATCGTAATCGGGAGGCCATTGTCGTAGCACACAAGCTAGCAAGAAATGCTTTTGTTACTCATAATTCTTGCATCTGGGATGATGATCCCCTAGTTTTATCCTTGAATCGCTTGTGAACAATGTAACTACTTTTTCAAATCAATAAAGCTAGCTGAATGACATTTCCTAAAAAAAAAGGGTGCGTGGGGAGTGAAAACAAACGACTCCAAAGAAACACCCTAAGCCACACTGTGTGCAATCAGACTGCATATGGATAAAAGAAGGACAAATGGCCATCAGTTGTACAACAAAACGGTGACATAAAGATAATATATACCTGAAGAAAGGTTAGTAACAATATTACTCCGGAATTCCAAGCAGCATGAACTGTGATAGGAGTAAGAAGATTCCGAGTTTGAGAATATGAGAATCCCAGTGCCACACCTGAGCATATTCAACAGATGCAAAAGATAGTCATCTCCACGCTGTCAAATCATGTAACACAAATTACACAACATATCAACATATGGCCTCCCAATTGTTTGTGATTTGTTCAATTCTAGGCAACACCGAACTAGTAACCATGCTGAGGGCTTGTGATAGGAGGGTTTCAGCATAATGCAGTTTTTGTGCAGTATCCTGCCAAGTTACTGGTAAAGTGATAATGTAGTCACTTACCAAGCACAAAAAGTTGGGGAAACTCTCCTGGTGTAAGATGAGCAAAGGCAAACACCACAGCTGTGATCAGAACAGATACTGGCGTAGAAAACCTGCACAAGAAACAAATTGTATATCTCTTTTATATGGTACAGAAGTGCAGATGCACCAACGTACAGTCCATCATTTCTAGGATAAGCACAGGGAATCCCTTAAAAAGAAGCGTTATTAAGTTTCTGGAACAAGAAAAAGGTATGCCTATTTACCACATAGTCAAGGATACCATTAGAAATCCTCTAAATACAGTTTCCTCCAAAATTGGTGCAAGAACCCCAGTGATGCCCAGCAGACAGGCAGTGCTACGAATAAAGAAAAAAGTCAAGATGTCAGATAAGTTTGTCTACTCTTCCCTAATCTATATCTATATGCAACTTGTGACAGTAAACCCCACAAGTAATACCTGATATTCGACGAGCCTATCAGTGGCAATAGAAGAAGTAGCGAGTCAGTCTGAAAGAAGATGTTCAAGAAGTAAATAAGTTCAGGTGAGATGTAAGGGTTTTTTCTTGATAAAATGTTAAACGTAAGATAGTAAAATAACATGAGAAGTCGTCATCTGAATCTGGGTACATCTAAACCTGAATTTGTATCTCATCTAACAATCATATCTAGGATTTTCAAAAATATATGAAAAGTTCAGTGCAAGTAGATGACCGGTAGGAATACGCACATGTGAATTTTGGTGAAAATGTATGATCGCCGCTTACTGTAAATTTCAGATGTGCCCATGTGGGAAAAATGTGGTCTAATACTAACATTCTGGGATTTTACATTTATCTGATATATAACATACTCTAGCCGATACGTTTATTATATCATGGATATCATATAACTACATATACATATCTGACTCTTCACAACCTTCTTCCAACAGAGGCTGTGATGCAGGAACTTTAGGCATATGACAACTGAACACAAAATTCTTAATGGTGGTATAGTGTGCCAGAGAGCTAAACACTGGAAACTAAGACATGCCAAAAACATGGCTAATGAAGAAACCATTTAGCAAATTAGAGTAATTTATTCTTGACAAGTTCTACAAACCACTAGAAAAATCCAAGATAACAATAAAAACTATAATAAAATTTGAAATAGAAAGGATGTAGGATATCAATGAAGATTGTTAATTGATTTATAAATTAGTGTTCCATAAGACAACACAAGACTAGCAGCTCAAGCATAAAAAGTCTAGATCGACCTCTCTCTGTGTGGTTGCACCATTCAGAAAGGTCATCACAGCTCCAGTTAAAGAAATGGAAACTAGAGCAAAAAAGAGGCCAATTCCAGCCCACAGGAGCCAGCCGTTTTGCAGCTTAAATGGTTCCTTAAAATCTGGAAATTGACAAATACAGTTGCATTAATAAACTCCCAGCCAACAAAAGAGGAAGAAACAACATCCAGTCATAGTGCACAAAGCAGCACAAGTCTATTATTTATCATGCCATTAACGATTCTATTATTTATCAAGGTGGTCTTCCGAAAGGAAGCAAGATGTTCTTATAATGCAACCAAAAGAATTACTGAAGGGGGAATGACAAGATCATTCTCTGACCATAACGAAATATGTCATCCGAGAATGGTCGGAAGGTATTGGTGATGCCAAACATAACTCCAATGGCAACTGCTGTCACACTACTGCACTTGGACACAAGAAAAGACAGGTAAATCCCATGCTGATATATAATCTATAAGCAGATGAGCTATGAGTTGAGTTGCAGTATCCATACATAGGAAAAAGAAATTAGATCCATACAATTGTTCCAAAAAGAGTACCCCGGCCTTCTCATCAATAGTTGCCTCTCCGGCTTGATAGCCTAGATACTCCAAAACTGACTGCTCAACCTTTCCTGCCAAAAGAGCGCTGTCTAAAGAACATTCAGCAAATTTTCCTAGACATTCAAGAACCCAAATTATTGGCATTTAATGCAATCGACAGAATCTGGATTGTGCAAATGAAATTTCTTGTTCCAGAATGCTGTGGCTAGAGTGCTAATGCACGATGCCAATCTGGATTGCCTGGTACCTTAGTGCACAGGCCACCATGGTGAGAGACACGGTTGGCCACTGCCATGGCACATCCCATCGGCGAAGGGCAGGACGCCACCCATCCACGCTCTGCTCATATCGACACAACGTCATCGTAAGAGAACTAGATAGGACAATCACAGTTCACAACTGAACTCTTACTGACGAGCTAACAAATTTCGCAGCATTTCTTGACGCGCTCACCTCACCGGAAGGAGGCGGGGGAGGAGGCCCGGGAAGCCCGTTTCCTGAATCGTAGGACCCGCGGCACGCTAGTCGGTACTTCCACCTCAGACGGCCAGCCTCCGGCGGCCGGGGCGCGAGCTTGTCCACCGCCGCCGCCGCCACGTGACGGCGACCGGTTCCTGGTGAAGGCAATCGATGCAGCCTCTGCTTCAAGTGGAGACAGAGGGATCTACTGCTGCTGCTGCCGTAGGGCAGCGCGCGGAGGCTGAGGAGGAGAGCGGGTGGAGCCGACGGCGAGTCCATCGGAAGGGAAGCCACCCGGCGCGGCGCGAGGATAATGACCAATATGCTTTTTTGGTCTTTCCGGCGAATACGATATTTCGGTGCAACATACAGAACAAGAGCATTTTTCCCTCGGAAATGATAAGAGCAACTTCAACGCGCGAACCCAAACGGATCGCTATTTTGTCATTTGGGCGGACGGCCCGTTCGATGTCCGCCCTGTTTATGATTTGAATCGGCAGTGCGCCCAACACATCGACCCATAATTTTGTCCGTGTGACCGGCTTGCCCTCACTTTTCAACAAATATACACATATTTTGCATAGTTTCACAAGCAAACAAAAATAGCATAGTTCCGCAACCCAACTAAATATAGCATAGTTTACGAGCCGAATAAAAATTAATTTTTTTAAATACATTTAAAAGAATATATCTATTGGTTTTCAACATGAGCCGACATATACTCAACCAAATCATCTTGGAGCTGAATATGAGTTTTCCAATCATGCATTTGATGATGAAATTGATGTTCCGAGCGCTCATTCTCTGCGATTATATTGTGCATGATCACACAAGCGGTCATCACCTCCCACGACTTCTTGGTGCTCCAAATTCTAGCAGGATATCGAACGATGCCCCATCGAAATTGCAGAACACCAAAGGCACGCTCGACATTCTTCTTAGCACTCTCTTACTCTTGGGCAAATCTTTTCCTCTTCTCTCCGACAAGGTTGGGGATTGTCTTCTGCTACTCTGACCGAGGCACATCGGGGGAAGAGGGCGGGGTGGCGCTGCTTCGGCCAGGGGGAGAAGAAAGGGGCTGCACAGTGTTGGGCGGCGGGAAGGAGAAAGGGGCGGCTCCGCATCAGCCGGCGGGAGGAGAAAGGGCAGCGTGACGCGGTTCGTTCCACTGAGGTATGTAGGGGTGAAATTCATTCCGGCTAGTGCTCGACTGTGGCCCAGATTGGGTTCGGGTGAAGCTCATTTCGGTTTGTGTGCACATTGTAGATGGATTGGAGTTCTTCCTCATCGTCTTCGTCCGACCATTCGAACATAGAAGATTTGACCCTCGACGACGATGATGAGTGTTGGGGAACGTAGTAATTTCAAAAAATTTCCTACGCACACGCAAGATCATGGTGATGCATAGCAACGAGAGGGGACAATAATGTCCACGTACCCTCGTAGACCGTAAGCGGAAGCGTTATGACAACGCGGTTGATGTAGTCGTACGTCTTCATGATCCGACCGATCCAAGTACCGAACGTACGGCACCTCCGAGTTCAGCACACGTTCAGCTCGATGACGATCCCCGGACTCCGATCCAGCAAAGTGTCGGGGATGAGTTCCGTCAGCACGACGGCATGGTGACGATGATGATGTACTACCAGCGCAGGGCTTCGCCTAAACTCCGCGACGATATGACCGAGGTGGAATATGATGGAGGGGGGCACCGCACACGGCTAAGGAATGATCACGAAGATCAACTTGTGTGTCATGGGGTGTCCCCCTGCCCCCGTATATAAAGGAGCAAGGGGGGAGGAGGCCGTCCCTAGGAGGGGGCGCGCCAAGTGTGGAGTCCTACTAGGACTCCCTAGTCCTAGTAGGATTCCACCTCCCTTGTTGGAGTAGGAGAAGGGGAAAGAGGGGAAGAGGAAGAAGGAAAGGGGGGATGCGCCCCTTGTCCAATTCGGACCAGAGGAGGGGCGCAGGCCTCCTTCCTTTTGGCCTCTCTCCTCTATTCCCGTATGGCCCAATAAGGCCCATATACTCTCCGGCGAATTCCCGTAACTCTCCGGTACTCTGAAAAATACCCGAATCACTCGGAACCTTTCCGAACTCCGAATATAGTCGTCCAATATATCGATCTTTACGTCTCGGCCATTTCGAGACAACTAGTCATGTCCCTGATCTCATCTGGGACTCTGAACTCCTTCGGTACATCAAAACTCATAAACTCATAATATAACTGTCATCGAAACCTTAAGCGTGCGGACCCTACGGGTTCGAGAACTATGTAGACATGACCTAGAACTATTCTTGGTCAACAACCAATAGCGGAACCTGGATGCCCATATTGGCTCCTACATATTCTACGAAGATCTTTATCGGTCAAACCGCATAACAACATACTTTGTTCCCTTTGTCACCGGTATATTACTTGCCCGAGATTCGACCGTCGGTATCTAATACCTAGCTCAATTTCGTTACCGGCAAGTCTCTTTACTCGTTACGTAATACATCATTCCGTAACTAACTCATTAGCTACATTGCTTGCAAGGCTTATAGTGATGTGCATTACCGAGAGGGCCCAGAGATACCTCTCCGACAATCGGAGTGACAAAACCTAATCTCGAAATACGCCAACCCAACATGTACCTTTGGAGACACCTGTAGTACTCCTTTATAATCACCCAGTTACGTTGTGATGTTTGGTAGCACCCAAAGTGTTCCTCCGGTAAACGGGAGTTGCATAATCTCATAGTTACAGGAACATGTATAAGTCATGAAGAAAGCAATAGCAATATACTAAACGATCAAGTGCTAGGCTAACGGAATGGGTCATGTCAATCACATCATTCTCCTAATGATGTGATCCCATTAATCAAATGACAACACATGTCTATGGTTAGGAAACATAACCATCTTTGATTAATGAGCTAGTCAAGTAGAGGCATACTAGTGACTATATGTTTGTCTATGTACTCACACATGTATCATGTTTCCGGTTAATACAATTCTAGAATGAATAATAAACATTTATCATGATATGAGGAAATAAATAATAATTTTATTATTGCCTCTAGGGCATATTTCCTTCAGTCTCCCACTTGCACTAGAGTCAATAATCTAGTTCACATCATCATGTGATTTAACACCAATATTCATATCTGTATATGATTAACACCCATAGTTCACATCGTCATGTGACCAACACCCAAAGGGTTTACTAGAGTCAACAATCTAGTTCACATTGCTATGTGATTAACACCCAAAGAGTACTAAGGTATGATCATATTTTGCTCGTGAGAGAAGTTTAGTCAACGGGTCTATCATATTACAGAGTCGTATGTATTTTGCAAATATTCTATGTCTACAATGCTTTGCACGGAGCTACTCTAGCTAATTGCTCCCACTTTCAATATGTATCCAGATTGAGACTTAGAGTCATCTAGATCGGTGTAAAAGCTTGCATCGATGTAACTCTTTACGACGAACTCTTTTATCACCTCCATAATCGAGAAACATATCCTTATTCTACTAAGGATAATTTTGACCAATGTCCAGTAATCTACTCCTAGATCACTATTGTACTCCCTTGCCAAACCAGGGCAGAGTATACAATAGGTCTGGTCCATAGCATGGCATACTTTTATAGAACCTATGACTGATGCATAGGGAATGACTTTCATTCTCTTTCTATTTTCTGTCGTGGTCGGGTCTTGAGTCTTACTCAATTTCATACCTTTGCAACACAGGCAAGAACTCTTTCTTTGACTGTTCTATTTTGAATTATTTCAAAATCTTGACAAGGTATGTACTTATTGAAAAAACTTTATCAAGCGTCTTGATCTATCTCAATAGATCTTGATGCTCAATATGTAAGCAGCTTCACCGAGGTCTTTCATTGAAAAACCTTTTATTCAAGTATCCTTTTATGCTATCCAGAAATTCTATATTATTTCCAATCAACAATATGTCTTGCACATATAATATCAGAAATGCTACAGAGCTCCCACTCACTTTCTTGTAAATACAGGCCTTTCCAAAAGTCTGTATAAAACCATATGCTTTGATCAACTCATCAAAGCGCATATTCCAACTCCGAGATGCTTGCACCAGTCCATTGATGGATTGCTGGAGCTTGCTCACTTTGTTAACATCTTTAGGGTTGACAAAAACTTTCTAGTTGCATCATATACAACTCTTCTTTAATAAATCCATTAAGGAATGCAGTTTTGACATCCATTTGCCAGGTTTCATAAAATGTGGCAATTGCTAACATGATTCAGACAAACTTAAGCTTCAATACGAGTGAGAAAATCTCATCGTATTCAACACCTTGAACTTGTTGAAAACATTTTGCAACAAGTCGAGCTTAGTAGATAGTAACACTACTATCAGTGTCCGTCTTCCTTTTGAAGATCCATTTATTTAACATGGCTTGCTGATCATCGAGCAAGTCAATCAAAGTCCATATTTTGTTCTCATACATGGATCATATCTCAGATTTTATGGCCTCAAGCCATTTCGTGGAATCTGGGCTCATCATCGCTTCCTCATAGTTCGTAGGTTCATCATGGTCTAGTAACATGACTTCTAGGACGGGATTACCGTACCACTTTGGTGCGGATCTTATTCTGGAAGACCTACGAGGTTCGGTAGTAACTTGATCTGAAGCTTCATGATCATCATCATTAACTTCCTCACTAATCGGTGTAGGCATCACTGGAACTGATTTCTGTGATGAACTACTTTCCAATTTGGGAGAAGGTACAATTACCTTATCAAGTTCTACTTTCCTCCCACTCACTTCTTTCGAAAGAAACTCCTTCTCTAGAAAGGATCCACCTTAGCAACGAATAACTTGCCTTCGGATCTGTGATAGAAGGTGTACCCAACAGTTTCCTTTGGGTATTCTATGAAGATGCACTTCTCCGGTTTAGGTTCGAGCTTATCAGGTCGAAACTTTTTCACATAAGCATCACAGCCCCAAACTTTAAGAAACGACAACTTTGGTTTCTTGCCAAACCACAGTTCATAAGGCGTCGTCTCAACGGATTTTGATGGTGCCCTATTTAAAGTGAATGCAACTGTCTCTAATGCATAACCCCAAAATGATAGTGGTAAATCGGTAAGAGACATCATAGATCGCACCATATCCAATAAAGTGCGGTTACGATGTTCGGACACACCATAACATTGTGGTGTTCCAGGTGGCGTGAGCTGTGAAACTATTCCACATTGTTTTAATTGAAGACCAAACTCGTAACTCAAATATTTGTCTCCACGATCAGATT